CCAGCGTCGGGGACTTCGACGATCTCTCCGACCACATCGGCGACCACTCCGACCATCTCCGCGATCTCTCCGACCACGTCGGCGACCACTCCGACAATCTCCGCGATCTCTTCGACCACCTCGGCCAGCCTTCCGACCACGACGGTGATCTCTCCGACCATCTCTGTGATCTCTCCGACCACCTCGACCAGCCTTCCGACCACGACGGTGATCTCTCCAACCACTTCAGCGATCTCTCCGACCACCTCTGTGACCTCTCCGACCACCTTACATTGTTTGTGTCTCCTAAAAAGCAGACCACCCTCCGCCACTGCTGCCATGCCTGCCCACCGAGAGCGGCCAGCCCTTGGCCCACCTATAGCATTGCTGCAGCCTAGCTAGCCATAGCAAGCCACAGCAAGCTACAGCAAGCCACAGCTAGCCACAGCAGGCCGAAGCTGGCCTCAGCTGGCCAGAGGCAGCCATAGCCCTCCGGGACAAGTTACAGCAGCCCTTGGGCTTCCACATCTTTGCCGCGAAGTCGAATCCTAGTCGAACGCCATTCCCGACACCGACGAAAGCCCTTCCTGCTCACTCTTATACTCGTTCGTCCACTTACAATACATGATCTTGATCTATCTACATCTGTCTGCACCATGCCCTTATGCAGGTCTATCTATCTACCTTTCTCGCTATGGATATGTGCTACTCCATTCGTGTGGTCGTGTCTTAGCTTTTATGTTGGGTTGTCGGGATTCTTGTTCTTATGTTGTGCTTGTTTGCCTAAGGACCGTGCCTTCAAGCCGGTCGAGGGATCGTAAGTCGTTCGACCATTTCGGTAGTGGGTTCGCCCCCACCGTGGCCGTAATGGCGAGCATAACTCGCTCCCTCGCTTTTAGTTGTCTCCGACATACTACAAATATTAGTAATTTGATTCGGCCCTAGGACCTGGCCATTGTGGACTGAACATTGGTGCGGATATCACCCGCACACAATGAGCCCTTTGTGGCCCAACTTAGTGGATGAGTCGAGATATGATGATTGTAGAAGATGGATGTCGACTCGTGTAGGATAAGCACATGGCCGCGAGTCCTCTCGTCATGACCATCGGGCTCTACCTCTTTGTGTTTATCCTAGCCACCTTACATGATTGCACCACCTTGACCATAGCATTCCTTCGGACCTAAGCGGTGACAACCGTACTGCTGCGAACCGAGGGAATAACATTGTGCCATTTAGTTGTACGGTCGTGATGCCCTATGAGTTGGTTTGGGTCGTGGGACTGTACCCCTTCTCTCCAACCTTCGTCCGTTCCATGACAAGTTGGTCGAAAGAAGTACATATTCCATTCTTCTCTCTCTTTGGTTCTCAATCCCCATCGATCCAGTAAAGATGTGGATTGAGCCTTTTGCTAGATTGGTGTTTATTGCCCTTTTGATTTCATTCATTCGATTCTCGTCGTTGCTATGGCAAGTGGATCAAATGAATGTGAATCTCATGTTTCTCTCTTTAGTGCTTAAGCTCTTGTATGGTTGTACCCATTTGGACCATAGCATTTCTGTGGTTCTTGCAATGACAACCGCACCGCTAAGAACCCTAGAGATGTCTTAGTGCCAGTGCACCTAAGTCGGGTACCCTATGAGTGGTTTGCGCACTTGGTGTTTGTCGCTTCCTTCCAATGCCCCGTCTTTCGTCGTGGCGCGAGTGTTGGAAGAAGAAGACCTTGTCCCTTGTTGTTCTTGCTCTTGTTGCACCGTTAGCCTGCTCTGTTCGATTCTGTCTTGCCCATGACGATTGGATCAAAGACCGGACTATTCCCTTTGGGTTAGCGAAGCTATGGTCTATGTCGTACCTCGAACCCATGCGTGTCGACCCGATCGGCCATCTAAGACCATCTTCCCGAAGATGTGTCTAAGAACATGACATGGATGTGCCTAGCTAACCCCCGCATCTTTTATCGTGTTGAACGACTCTCTTCTCGGCTCCCGACATTATTGAGTCGTGTGGATCGAAGGGAACCGTTGATGTCCAATCTCTTTGCGCTACCGCTTTCTACCATAGCGAACGAGCCAAAGTACGTTGGAGCCAAGTCACAATAGTGTCAATCGTTCTTGTATGCTACTCGTGTCTAATTGTGACTTGCGGGATAAGACTATAAGAGCCGAACCCCGTCGTTCTTTCTTCATTGGGCCCGTCCCCCGATTCCCGTCCTTTCCATGACGCCCGGATCGAAGGACGTGAGCCGTGGTGTTGCTATGGATAAGCTTTGGCTTAAACCATGTATCCTAAAGCCATATTGGCTTGGCCATGAGTTAAGCTTGTGCTTAGCAAACCACCACTTGTGATTCTTTGGCCCGAGGAAATCGGACAACCGCCGAGAGGGCTAAGTCGTGTATCCCTTATTGCCTCACTGGTGTTATTGGATTTTTCCTACGTATTGTCGTCTTTTCGAGTGTGGAGTGCTCTCTTGCCTTGCGTGTCGCTTCGCGGAGTAGCTGACGATCGGACCAAGAGAACATGGACGACGACAAGGACTGCGGAATGGAGTCAACGCAGGAGGAGGTGACCCCACTAATGGAATACCAACGAATGGAGAATTGTACCACTACTACCTCTACGTCGCAAGTGTCATGGCAGCACCCTCTTTTAGAGAATCCTATTAGACATTGCATAATATCTAGAACTGCTAGCGCTTTATAAATTATTCCTTTGCTAGTACTTTGATGCATGCTACTACCTGAGCCATTATTACCCTGATGCAACCCACTCTACCACGTCACCCTGCCTTGCGCATTCGCTCGCTTATATATGCTTACTTGCCTGCTTGCTTGCATATTACACCACTATACTTATTATTAACTCCACTTCGCATTATGTCGGGGATGTGATGGTGGTGGTGAACCCCCTGGGAATGGTTTGGCTATGGGTGCCGGACTTGGTGGTGTGTGAGCGTGCTGCGTGTGTCTTGGGTGCGTGGAGAGCGAGGGTTGTGTCGACCGAGCCAGAATAACGACGAGCCTAGGGCGAGTCTTGCCATGTGGTGCTACCTAGGCACTTGGATATGGAATACCTGTGGCGGGTAAATGGTAATTGGAGGTGGCCTTGGGTGTGAACATGTGATGGGAGGAGCCCAAGGTGGAGGTGCTGTGGTGGCACGTAAAATGGAAACCCTGATGAAGACATTCTGGCTTGGTCAATCCCTAAGGACTTACTAGTACTCAGATTCATCGGGAATCCTTTACATCCCACTCGCCCTATATGGTGCGGGACGGTCGGACTACTTGGTAGAGCGATGCCACTAATGCTACGCGAACGTGTGCAAGGAGGTACGGAGCACGTGGTTTCCCCCCACACCCTTCCGTGACTTCAGGAGGCCTTGTGGACCTGGCTCTTGACATCCGGTGGGCCCTGACTCTATCTATGACTCACAGTATCAGCCATCTCAGACTAGACTTGGGATGTTCTAGGGCTGAGAGGTAGGGTGGCATCGTTCTAGGCTAGCAAGCGGCCGGAATCTACCTAGACGGGGCACCGTCGAGGATGGCTATCTTGTGGGTATGTGAAACCTCTGCAGAGTGTATGGTTGATCGATCGATACATATGTCGACTTGTCGGCTATGGACCTTTCCTGGGTTTCGCTTAAACTAGATAGAAGATGAGTCCTTCTTTTCTCCCTCCAGGGTTGGGGTATTTTCCGGTCATGAGCCTTGGGGGCTGCGGGCCGTTGAGACAAGGCCGAGAGGGAGTTGGCCTGTCGACCTGAGTGTGTGAGATGAGATATGGTGTGGTGGTGTGGAGATGGTTTGGGATGGATGGTTGGTGGATGGATATGGATGGTGTGGTGGTGAATGTGTTAAAAACTGGATATTATTACTATATTACTAATGTTATTTACTTCTCATGCGCTAAGGATGCAAACCACAGCCAAATATTAGGATCGTCAGATCCCTTGTTTATCTTTTCCTCTAAAGCTCATCAGTGCTGACCATGGCCTGCACACATCTGGCGGTGTGCAGATTTCCTGCTTCTCAGAGATGCTGACTTTAGAAGGATTCGGAGATGGAATCTACGCTGCCCTACGCCAACTCTGATGATGACCCGTGAAGGAGGAGCCTTCACTCGATAGTCTTATGCTAGATTAACTCTATAATAGGTATGTTCTCCAGTGATGTAATATCTTGTATTCTTGTAATCTTACGATGTATGACTGTGACATCGACTGAAATATGATAATATGATGGAATCAGTTCTTGGTTTTATCATATTAAAAATTATTCTGTGGATTTTTCCTTCAAGGAAAATTGAGGATGTTTCAATTGTCACCCTGCCTTGAACTGAACCGTAGTTGTCTATTACATTTGCATTAAACACCTAGAGCTAAAAACCAAAACTTCTAATTAAAGCATTATCTCAAGTTCTAACACATATAGTTCTGTCAATACATGTTTGTAAACAAACGTGAACTTAGAAATGTAATCCATTCAGAGAGCACAGTAATAATTTGCTCAGACCCATAAGGTGACACACTTTACTTGATAGTCAACGGCTCATACATGAGTTATGACTTACAATGCGTAAATTGAGAAATGTCATCCATCAACCAGGAACAATAACATTTTGCTCTTTAGAGTCCTAGTGAATCTCAACATTTGGACGAAGACAGCACAAATGCACATTACGTCATTTAACCCTTTCGCGTTCAGCGACCAACTACAATAGACTTTGTGACAGGGACCGGTCGCTGCACATTTCTTAGTTAAAACACAGTCTAGGCCTATGCTACAATTATATTGAGGAATCAAGAAATTAAGCCCAAATCATAATTAGAAAATAAGAAATAGAGAAAAGGTACGGAAAATCAGCATGAGGATTATTAAGTAAAAGATATATAAGAAAAAAACAAATAGGTAAGTATTGTAGTAGGCAAGTCAAAGAAACAATAAAATCAGCTAAGCAGACCACATAAAAACCAAGCATATGTAGATGAAACCAAAACGCAGACTACAGGGCGAGGGCGAGGGATGGTGGCGCGCGACGTCCTGTGCAAGGACGCGGGATGGTGGTGGCGGTCGCAGGCAATTCGTGATGGTGGTGACGGGGCTGAGGGGTCCGGAAGGAAGGCCAAATCATCTCGTGAGTGCAAGAGGAAAGACAGACCGTCGGAGATTGCGGTGACTGCGGTGATTGCGGGGCGAGCGGCAGGGGATCGCGGTTTCAGGGGAAGTTGCGGTGGCTGCAGGAAAGTCGCGGTCGTAGGGGGCGAGCGGTAGGCAGACCGACGTAGCGCTTGCGGGATTGCACGGGGAGGGCACGAAGGTGAGCCGAAGTTTTTGTCGCACCAAAACGGTATCTCCTCTTTAGTCTTTTTAAGTTTTGGGAGAGTGGTTCATGTTTGGTGGTCGGTGTATCGATTTGTTGCGGGGTTTTTTGCATTGACTCATGCTAATTAAGATATTCGCATGAGTCGCTTTAAAAACACCACTGGAGAAGCCCTAATAATATGCATTCGTTTTTATGTGAAAATGACATTATCCATTTATATTTGCACATGGTGATGTAATAGTTCTTATCCACAAAATACTATAAGAAAATTAACTAATAAAAAAGTTTGTAACGAAGTGTAATCGTGGATCTGAAGTATCGTCATAAACGAGGCTACGTCGTCAAGTGAACCATGATGGTCTTGTTCAAGATTAATTTGTTGGACCACAAATAGTACTTCTACTTCGGTTTGAATTTGCTTCCTAAAAGTATTTAGCGAGAGAAGTCAGATTTGTGAGAGCATGGCCCCCGCTAAAGCGAACTGAAGTTGGAAGACACCCATTTTCAGCTTTATCCTATACTAATCTTTTATGAGAGCATATTTTAAAGGATTTCTTATGTGATTATGTGAAGATGAAAACTATTTGAAAAATATCTATTTGGCACAAAATAGTTCTAAACAGCTCGTTTGAGAAACTGTGGCAAATGTAGGCACAGACTCCTTTTTGCATTAAACGGGTCAGCACGCAGTTTCCGCGTGCGTTTGGAACATTGGATTTTTGAAGGAAAATCATAGGAATATAAAATCAAAGGAAAGAAACTAAACTGGACCGTTTGGAACACATGAAAGTATCAATTCCTTTCCTCACCGGATGCACATTTCACAGGAAATAAAACATCTACTCGGATCTCTTGGTTTCCTTTCCTTTGCATGGTCCGATGCAGCGCTCGTGAAGAAGACATGAAAAAAGGAGGGTAAAGCAGCTTGTCAGGGTGTTAGTGACTCACGTTCGAGCTACGTCAAGTGAAGTTACATGCTGCTATTGTTTTTTTTTGCCAAAGATTCCTATAATTCTAATTTCTATGTTCCAAATGTCATCTTATATATGTTTCCTGCGTTTTTCGCATTCTTTATTTTATCATCTCATCTCCATCCTATTCCTGCTGCAATTGTTTTTTTTTTGCCCTTTGCTGCCCACCAAAGATTCCTATAATTCTAATTTATATGTTCTAAACGCCACCTTATATATGTTTTCTATATTTTTTTCTATCATCTGTTTTATCATCTCATCTCCATCCTATTCATGTGTTTTTTTTTTTTTTCATGTGTTTTCAATTCGTCAGTTCCAAACAAGCCCCGAGACATTTCCTCTCCTCGTCTCCTCGCCCGCCTGCCCTGCCCTGCCCCTCTTCTATTTGGTTTTCCCTGCTGTTTCGTTGCTGCCTGCCTCCTGCCGTTACGAGCGAGCGTGTCAGGGTTTTTCCTTGGTCAGCCGGCGGCGGGGCTGGCGGCGGCCGGACCTCCATCCACCTCCCACGCCAGCTCGTTCATCCTGTCTGCTGCGGCCGAGTCGCGGGCCGCCGTCGCTGGGCACCTGCCGTCCTCGCAAGTCGCAAAGCGGAGGTAATCCCACGCCGCCGTTCGTTGCCGACCGTGGCGATTTGCGTTCCCTTCCTCGAAGAATTCCTGCGGAGACAATTCGCGTTTCGTCTCGGGGGAAAAGGGTGGGGGTCAGGCGGTTGTCCTGGGGGAGGGACGAAGGGTAGTAGTATGGGGGGTGGCGGATTGCGTTGGGGACTAGTTTTCTTTCTCGTAGATGGGCTTTGCTGCTGCGACCGGATCCGTGGTCGGAGTCTTCTGCAGTCCGAATTCCCCAAATCAGGATTAGCTTATGCCCACCTATTTTTCCGTTGAATTTGCTGCGAGTCCCGTGTGGCGTACCCCTATTTTGTATTGCTTTGTGTTGCCGAAAGCAGCTTACCTTCCCATCTGTACGGAGTTCACCGTGGAGTCGTGCTTGCAAGTATGATGGAGAATAAAACTTCCTGTATTTAGATATTCCTCTCGTAGCAGTTAGCATGTGTTCTGATAGAATAAATCAATTGCATGCTGACCATTATGTTTGATATATGTTGTATGACATATTAGCTACCTAACGATCACAAAGGAACCTTGAATTTGATCATGTATGTGGAAGAGGGTGCATCGATCTATATGAGAGCATAGGTACATGACCATGGAGACAAATCATTCACAGGACATGGACGGAAACTACAAAACTACATCACCAGTGTACAATTCTTTGTTGCAGTATGATGTAATCTGCTGTGCTAACTCAGCCTTTATTACACTCATTTAGCATATGAGATAATTGTTCCAAATCAGGAATCAGTATGTTGTCACCATTGGCTGTGCTAAGAATATCTTAGCATATGCTGCCCTGAGGAACCAGGGCTTTGGACATCTGTGCTAGTATCTTCTCTATGTTTTTTTCCCAAACCCATCATTCTGCAAATTTCTCAATTTTTACAATTTATATTAAGGTAAGTGTAATGAACACCACATTTATGGTCGTGTCTTGTTTGGTCTGTTAAATTATTTTAGGTGGGATTTTGTTAAATTTCTGAGATGGCAGAATGTCGGATACAAGACTGGAAGCACACTTCAGCTCCAGAATCAGTTTCTAGACATGAAGCATCAATACCAAGAACAAGGCAAAGGTAAAACCGATGATAACATATCATTTCTTTTTCTAGTATTTTGATCTATAGAAACTTCTGATCTATAGAAACTTCTGTTGCATTACCTCAACCTCAAGGACATTAGAATCCCGAATTGTGATTTGAGCCCTATGATTTATCCCGTGGAGATAAATTGAGTGAGGTTCTGCTTGTAAAAGAACCAATGAACTATATCTGTTACCAAAACAATTTCCTTTTAACTGTTGATGGCAACAATCATCTGCTGAGTGTGACTCATTTCCCCTATCTCATTACCAGAAACATTTTTGGTCTATTAGCTCAGCGGGAGCTCTCACCTCGAACAAAAAACCAAGCGAAAAATCTTTGGACCAAGCCTCCAAGACGTGATGCTTGTCCTGTTGAATTAAAATTTTGGGGCACCGATGCTCGGCATGATCTCCTTTCTTGGTAAGTGACCCTTTTCCTTACCAAATCAAGATGCATATTTACGAGTTGTTTTTATAAAGGCTTAAACTGTTTGCTTTACTTCTAATCGATTTTGTCATCCTTTTTTATTCTCTTTTTACCCTCTTTTTACAGGGCTGAATCAGAGTTCTTGCGTTGGTGGATTCCCAAATATTGCCCTCTTCTCCCTTCTTCGAAGGCAACTATTGCAGCTGCATTTAGTCCAGATGGGAGAGTACTTGCATCCACACAGTAGGTTAATTAACTTGCTGAATTATGATCTATAAATACCAAAGAACATTTAGACTAACTTCGCTTTATCCCCAGTGGTGACCATACTGTCAAAATAATTGATTGCCAAACTGGGAAATGCTTGAATGTACTGTTTGGACATCAGCGCACTCCATGGGTGGTACGTGACGTAATTCTTATTGTATTTTGTTTCCTTATGTGCTTAAACCACTTCTAAATAGATACACAAATAGTAATTTGTTCGTAATGTTTTCTAGTGATCAACAGTTTAAACAATACTAGTTCGTCATCTATGTTTTTATGCTGCATATTTTCTAAATTTATATTTTTAAAACAGACATAAGTGTCTCAGATCTGATGTATATATTAAGGAAAACAATACATTTTGACATACAATGACCAATAGATATAAAAAATGTGCAAAGGGGCCCTTTGAGGTCGTCGTCTTCCTCCAAAAACGCACTGCTTGTTGGAAATTGAAAAACACACTGCATATTTTCCATTTCACAACAAACTTATTAGTTCAGGGAAGCATTATAAAGAGAAACTAGAGATTTGTTTCTCAATTTGAAAAGTATCATTTGTCACAGACCTATCATTCTGAGTATCTATGTATTAAGGTGGTTTTCTGTTGCAGGTTAGATTCCATCCTCAGCGTTCTGATATTCTTGCTAGTGGAAGTTTGGATTGTGAAGTTCGTCTCTGGGATGCTAAAACATCTCGCTGCACTGCAGTACTGCCCTTCTGTAATCATCCTTGACAAGCCAATTGCCATAGATAACTTTTTCCCTATTTATGGGTATTTCTAAAGTAACACGCTTTAATTTTTATTAACATTTGTTTCACAGATAGGCCAATTGCATCAATTGCATTTCATGCAACAGGGGAACTTCTGGCAGTTGCATCAGGTCACAAAGTGAGAACTGTGTGTTGAACTTACTATAGTATCTATATTTACTTGTTTCACCATTAATTGTTAAAATGATATATACTAATGTACAAACTATAAACACATTTTTCAGTTGTTTATATGGGACTGTAATAACCGATTTGAAACTTTGGAACCTCCAATCATACTAAAAACCCGCCGTTCACTGAGAGCTGTGCAGTTTCACCCCCATGGTGCGCCATATCTACTTACAGCAGAGGTCAATTTTTGTGTCCGCTACATCCACACTTTTCCTAGTCTAAATGGTTGTGATGAAACTCATGGGTAGGTCCATTTACAGGTTCACAGCCTTGATTCTGAAGATTCAACGATGACCCCTGCACTTCTGAGCAATTATTCCTTCAGAGACACACCTCTCCTTGGTGGTTCTGGGGTAGATAACTTGATTAGTGAACTATCGTACATGCATAATTTTGAGCAGGTTGATGCTTCATCATCAGTTCCAGTCACTACTGGCAGTTTCGATGGGTCAAGGCTACATGATACCGCAGGCCATCATCTGATGACCTCTGTACCTGGTATTGGGAGTTCTCTTCTGGGTACTCATACTGCTGAAGCTGAAGCTCCTGCTATCTCATTAAGTGTTGGGGCAGAACAAACTACGTCTCTGCTTGGTGGTGGCACCGAATTACCTTGTACGGTGAAGCTAAGAATATGGCGTCACAACATGAAGAATCCATTTAGCGCATTAGGGCCTGAGGCATGCCTCTTGACAATTCCTCATGCTGTACTTTGCAGGTGCCCAATGTTCCTTCTTTTCCCCTAAATGTTCCTGTACATCACCACCACTAACTAGATCTTTTGATGTCGCTTCTTAATGTATAACATATTTGATGCACTAGACACAAAAGGCTGATTCTTTACTCTTTTTCATGCTAATTCTGAACTGCTACATACTGTTGTTGGCAATCAACTTCTATATGTTTGGTTACGCCAGAAAACAGTAACAGCTACAATTTGTATCATTTGGCTGCATTGGTAATATTGGGTAGCACTTATATCATCTTTGCTAGATTTCTATTGCAGCTGAAGTTTGAGACTTATTTACTTACTTGAGGTTTCTGTTAAATTTTCTGCAGCGAAATGGGTACCCATTTTTCCCCCTGTGGGCGATTTTTGGTTGCTTGTGTTGCATGTGTGCTGCCACACAGAGATGGTGACCATGGAAGTCAATTGCATGAACATTATGATTCTGCTGGGGCTGGAACATCACCAACTCGCCACACCCTTCCATCTCGCCAAATTATATATGAGCTTCGGGTTTATTCTCTTGAAGACGCAACGTTAGTTTGCTTGTTGCTGTTCTTTTCCATCAGATAACCTTTATCTAGCTATTGTTTGCAAATGGACCAATAATAAATATTTTGTTACACCCATATAGATTTGGAACAGTTCTTGCATCTAGAGCAATAAAGGCTGCTCACTGTTTAACTTCCATCCAGGTTATTTTCCTTGAACCTTTGTTTTTTGGGTTGTGTTATTGTTTTATTTACGAGGTGTGCATGTTTGAAGAGGCAAATATGTGTTCCCATGTATTCCTTTCTAGAGCAATGTAGGCAGCTCACTGGCAAACTGCACTTTTGTCCAGTTTAAATTTGCTATCATTTATTTTTTAGGTTGTTTATTTTACTTATCTACCATTTATTTTTTATAGGCAGCAAACTGCACATTTGTCCAGTTTCCCATGTATTTTTTAGCAACAAATATGAGTTCTCATCTATTCCTTCTCTTCTGAGAGCAATTAACATCGTGTTGGGTGATTACATATCAATTGTGTGGACTCACTTAGGTATCAATCTGTAAATGATACCTTTAGCGTTGGAGCAATGCATGATAGATTTTATATGTTATACAAATCTGCAGTTCTGATTATTTAATTTGGATGTACATGAGTGAATATCGTTTTTTTCTGTGTTGTAATATTTTTCATACACCGCAGTTTTCACCCACATCAGAATACATACTATTGGCATATGGCCGGCAACATAGTTCACTGTTGAGGACCATTTTCATCGGTGGGGAGACCAGAGTTCCGATGTACAGAGTCTTGGAGGTATATATGGTTAACTTGCTCTAAACCATATGTTGTTTACTAACTACTACTACAGTTCCAAATTATATGTCATTTTAGCTTTGTCCTAAGTCTAAATTTGAACATTTTTTTAGAAAAATGCACCAACATCTGCAACACCGTATTAGTTTTGCATTTATTTGAGCTTGTAAATGTAAATAGATTTTTCTAAAAACTTGGTCAAAGTTAGTGAAGTTTGACCTAGGATGAAGCTAAAGTGACCTATAATTTGGAACAATAAAGGGAATAACCAACAACAACAACAACAAAGCCTTTTTGTTCCTAGCAAGTTGTGTTAAGCATGTTGATTACTAACTAATAAGTATATGAATTAATAATCTGTTATGGAATATCTGACCAAACTGCTCTCACAATACCTATTTATGACAGTTGAAAATAGATGCACTTTATTCGTTGTAATTTACATTGCAGTACAACCTAGTGGTTTGAGAATCTAAGTATTAGTATCATTGTTGTTTTCCACTACCATAGGTGTATCGAGTTTCAGACATGGAGCTTGTAAGAGTTCTTCCTAGTGCTGGAGAAGAAGTCAATGTCGCATGTTTTCATCCTTCCCCTGGATCAGGTCTTGTTTATGGGACTAAGGTGAGTAGCAAGTTAAGATCAGCTACAAAAATGGAATAAATATTGCTCTGCTGATGCTTCTGGTGTACAACAGCAAGGGAAGGTTAGGTTTCTTCAGCACCATGGTGCAGTATCCACTCGCTGGGGAGAATGCTCTTGAGGTATTACTTTCCTGAAGGTTTGTTCGGATTAACTATTCCGCATGGGGATTTGGGGGTAGGGATTGAGGGGATAATTAGTTGGAGCCCAATGCCCATCAGGATTTGTTTATCCAAACGAGCCCAGAGGAGTATGATATGTACTTAGTTTGAATCTTGTCATAATTAGATAGAGTGCACTTCGCATTGGATCTTGATTAGCCATGTTCCTTTTATTCCCTGCATGTAGTCTGGCAGTGTGAGTTATAAATAGAAAATGCCATTCAGATATCTATAGACGACCTTTTAGTTGTTTCACTGTTGCCATTTTTCTGTTTGCAAGGATTGCAGTTTGCTACTTGGCTGGTGCAGTAGTTTGACTTCGTAGTACATTTCACAGGATTGAACACTAAACATTTTTTTTCTATTTATAATGTTCAATTGTTCAATAACAAGAAACTAAAAACAGGGGTTCTAAGATATGTAGCCAAGCTCTTGTCAGGAGGGGTTCCACTAGGTCTATTTTCTCGGATAGCAATAACACTTATTTCAAGTACACAAGCACAAGCATACTAAGTTGATCTTAAGCTAGTTAGGGTTGAGGATGAAGACTTCATAGTGTGCTTGTGTTTGCCCAAGCTCATTCTTGTAGTAGCCTTGATCTTTACATCTTTTACCATACCCTGAAGTCTTGAACGCTCATTATTGCAACATGCTACTATTGCAGTATATAATTTTTGGATTTTAATTGCTAGCATTAATCCACTCGAGATAACTTTCTGTTTCTTTGCTTGTCATTGTAGATTTAGAGGCATGTGCTTTAAATGCAATTCTGGACATATTAACTGAATCTCAGCATCACATTCTTTATGCTGCTGAACCCTATCTTGATTGTGGTTTCTGCAACATCCTGGAAGAGGTCCCCTTTGTTCTTTTTTTATATGTTCATGTTCTGATGATGCTTGTACATATGTGGAAACAGAATGCCCAGGTTCTGGTTGTCACCCACTAATAAATGATCGGTTGCTATTAGATGCTTTAATTTTCCGTCCCTTACAAGTAGTCAATGTTATATTTTATTCCAATGGCAAGCCTTAGATATAATCATGGTATCGGCTGGACAAGCATTTCCTTAAGGCTGCCATGCGCCCTTGCCATCATGAGTTGAACTGTTAGTTCACTGCACTGTTTAAATTCCCCCTAGCGGTTTATTGTAAATTGTTGTAGATTTTTAAATCAGGAAAAAAAATCAATGTTGAGTACCACTAATTATGTAGTTGTGTACAATTAACATCTTATATGGTGCATATGTTTAATGCTTAAGACTTAGGCATCATGAAGGGAGATTTGCAGTGCGAATCGTTTCAAACTTTACATCAAAATATCTGGAATAATATTATGTCTCAGAAAACAAAAGTTAGAGTTCTGCAAAAATCAATATCTATATATGTACATACTACGGTATGGCAGACAAAGGAAAATGTCATCAGTAGCTTTCAATTTTTAGCTAGATTTTACTCCTCTAGTTACAAATGACTTTTGGATATTGACATGGTCTCCAAGGCATAACTTTCACTACTTTTTGTTACAAAATATTTATAAAACATGGAAAAAGTATATATTTGTGAAACCCTGTATCAAGAAAAATCTAGTGGTATCATTTTTCAAATATCCGAACTCAACACAAGGTAATATGCGATCAAAGATTAGAATTGTTGGCTTAAGACACCTCCAAAACGCTGCTTTGTGACTTGAGGAAGTATTAGAAAATTTCTTTACTTACATCGACTATGTTTGGATGTCCACTGCATTTTAGTCTACACCATGCGTCCATGCCAACTTTTTAATGGTAAACTTTAGTGATATAGTGGGTTTACGAAGGTTAGTACCGTTAGGGGGGTTTGAATTGTATGTTTCTTTGGTGAAGGCTTGTCAACTGTCGACCCTATGCATAAACTAATTTCAATGTTGTTCATTTGAAATGGTTTTGCTTTTTGCTGAAGGTGGTTGATTGTTATTACAGGAACTTATGCTCAACTGAGACCATACTTTCATCTGTCTCCAAGACTGAGAGGGCCTAACGGAAAACATCAGATTTCAGCCTCCAATTATTCTGATTAACGAGCCACTCTTTGCAAAACCATTGTACCAGCAACGAGGGCTGCTATTCTAGGTGCGGTTAACGTGTGTAAGAAGCCCCCGTCTATGAGAAAATGGACAAGTCGCCGCCTCATCCAGCATGAATTACCAACGATCGTAGACTACTTGTATGAGGACACCACCAAAGAATACGGTCGCCTGTATGATTATGTGGATGCGAGCCACGTACTGACGCCTGGCCTCCGAAAGATGTGATGAGTGCTTTGCTTAGTTTGATGATAATAAGTTTTTTTTGAAATTGTTACCATTCTTGTTCTTGTATACAAGGCTGCGAATAAATGTATTTGATGAAAGGGAGCTGTCTTTAACAATTGTCTGAGTGAAGCGAGGGAAGGGATGGGCATTCTTCCCCTCAGGGAAGGTTGTCTATACCAAGCGAAGTGTTCGTCAAAAAAAAGAAAAGAAAGAAAGAAAAGAAAAGAAAAGAAAAGAAAAGAAAAGAAAAGCGAAGTGAGTTAGTTAAGACAGGCAGAGTGAGCTGTAGAACATGTATTCATGCGCGTGTAGAAACATACATCTTGCATGCGCGTCCATGTACGTACACAACAGGTTTTTAGAACATGTGCTACTATTAAAACATGCGCTGTATCGCATGTTTTGAGCAACCCTACTGGTATGACATTCATACACATGGGAAGGAGTGTTAAAACTCTGAAAATCACCATTTGCGACCATTTTCATATGTCATCCTACCTCCTCTTGGGCAATTCATCAAACTTGGGATCTCATGTGCACCACAGGTTCTTAAAAAATAGGGAAGATATCGCCACTACATTCCCTGTTAAGTGCTAACTGAAACAAGGTTGGGTCTGTCACTACTATGTATTTTCAATAGTTCCATATTTAAATTATAAGATGTTTTGGTTTTTCTAGATACATTGTTTTTGCTAGGTAGAACGTAGATTTGTTGCAGGACATCTTAATATCAAAATTGCAAACAACTTTTTAATGTAAAAAGGTAGACAATGAATGTGGCAGAACCTCCCAAGAAATCGGGCCCACATGCACCTATCGATGTCTCAACAGACCTTTGATAGCGTACACAAGTTCCCAACATCTTAACAGGTCTGTCGGGTGTCCTCGGGAAACCCGAATCATCCACGAATCTTTTCCAAACAGGATCCCAATTACAGACATTGCAGATTACAACAGTTTTCAATATACATATCAGAGATAATAAAGCGGAAGACTTAAGTTTTAATATTACAAACCAGTTATTTCAAACTTACAAAACTATAAGTGTCATACAACCATAGTAGCGGGATAATATTACATTAACATTATTTATTTCACACAAACTAGTGCCTTGTCCAAAGGCCATTCATCATTTTTCATCGTCATCGACTTCAAACACTGACATGCAGCAGGGACCAAAACAAGCCTGCGCATGCGACTCACCTGCAACAAGGGTTAACAAACCCTGAGTACAAAAGTACTCAACAAGACTGACCCGACGAAAAAGGGGCGAAGGTCTTAGAGATGCAGGTGTTAGGTCAAGCTAAGGAGGTAGCAAGATTCAAAAAATCTTCGTCAAAAGCTTACTATTTTTTATCCTATTTTCAAGTTTAATCCCTAAGTCCTTTTAGTTCATTATCTCAAACTAAGTGTTCATATCCCATATTTCAATCCTTCTCGTTCCATTCCTTTTTTTCATGTTTTAGTAATTCACCAGTCCTACATTGCTTCTGTAATGAATCGAGTCTCCATATCCGCGGAGCACCGGCAATTCGAATTGATTCAAGTCCTAGCTAGGGATTCCTTATCACACGACATATGTAGAACTTAATCTTGCATATATCAACCTCGCTATCGGATCCTCCTATTGTAACACCTCGGGTGTTAGCCTTGCATAACTTGACTTGCATAACATAAGCATGAGCATCAAGCATTCATAAATCATCATTTACAATTGAAACATTCAATCGAAACATATGAAACATTGCTTGTTATCTCGTGTTTCTTGGAACATATGCATATGATCATGTGCAAATGAATGCAAGTGGGTAATGTTGGTCACTAAAACACCTTAGCTACACTTAGGTTAACAAAAGGAACCTTGTTCATGAAGGTCACCTTTCATGATCAAGCACTTAAGTAATATTACCTGTGTTGACCTGGATAGCTATATGAGTGACTACTACATGAAATGCTTAAATGACCTTGCAAATTGTTTAAACATGCTTAGAGTATCATCATGAACAACTTTGGTATTTAAGGCTAGGGCTAGTTTGGTCATTTAGCCATGGTTTGAATATGTATCATGATTGCAAAGTGACATGTTAGACCAAAGTTGAACTAGGTGTTAGAGACCTTGCATGGAGGAGTTCACTAAAGCAAAGTTGTAGTGTTTAACATAAGGAACAACTTTGATTTTTGGGTCTTTGACTGATTCAGCTCCTAACATGTGTGAATTTGGATTTCAAAATCATCAAATCACCGATTTTCAAGACACTTAAGCAAATTTCGCTAAGTCACGAAAGCAATCGACCGAATCGACAAACCGATGTTTGGGGTGTTATTGCTCTTCGTTTACATATGCGAATTAGAACGAGGTACTTGAACCAAAGTTGTAGTTGGTACATAGGACTACACAAGTCGTGAAGATCGCCTTGCACGTTGGAGCTTTGGTTTAGCCGATAATTATTTGTGTAAACTCATTGTCGTCAGCATAACATCGGGTCATCGACAAACCTGAATCGCTGCGTTCGCTTGGCGGCCGAGTTCGGGCGTGGCGTGGTCGCCGCGGCGGCGAAGCGTATGCAGCGTCGTCACGGCGGCGCTTCTGCCAATGTGCGGCCAAGGCGGGCAAGCGCACCTTCAACACGCCAAAGATCCGCCCGCCTCCCTCGCCGTGCCTCCTTTTTTCGCATTTTGCCTCCTCCTTGCTTTCGCCAGAAGGCGTCGGTCGTGCTTTCGCTCTACCTCGCCGTCGCCATTGCAGACGCTCCGCCGAAGCTCTTCGCTGCGCTAGCCACCATTGCATCCGCCAATTAGTTGCTCTCTCAACCGCCTCAACCTTCCCCATCGTTTCCACCTTGCCTCGCCCGAGATTGTACCTTAGGTGAGTCTTTGCTCGCGCGGCGCCGCCAGCAGAGCACTCTCGCCGGAGTGCCGCCATGGCTGTTGCCGTGGCCGTACTTCGTCGGAGTGCCTCAAGCCTCCTAGGTCATGTAGTGTGGTTCGCTTGGTCGCCGTGGTCCTGTTGCTCACCCTGCTTGGCCTCGCTGTGGCGGAGATGGCGGCACACGCCGCGGCAAGACACCGTCGTGCCGCCATGGCCGACGCCGTAAATCCAAGGCGCGATGATTCGCCCGCCTAGATAGCTCTATGGGTGCGCAAGGTCTAGAGGGTCACCAGAGACTAGGTGCTGTCGCCGGTAAAGCTCGGCCGGCCGTGAAACTTGGCCGCGCCAGTGTGACGTAGCAGCGCCGCCTACCCTGTTTTCGAGTCGATGACGCGTGGGGTCACCTGACCACCGGGTCCCACCGGTCAATGACAACGATGAGTGAAGGATAGCTCATTTGATCCAGCTTTTTGATTTCTTTTGTGATTTTCATATCTTCAGTTTGAAAGCTCCTAAAATTGTGAAATAAATTTGTGAGTGTTCCTTAGGAAGTGTAGTATTTAAGAAAAATATGTTCTTGGTTTCAACAGTAGAAATTTTGGAGATTTAAATAAGGATTTGAAATGTGCTTTTGAATGCATTCAAATTTGTTTAATTTATATCTAGAGTTCCTGTGCTCCAAAAATTATGAAATTTTTGTGGTAAGTTAGTCTTAGCATATATGAGCTCTGGTAAAAATTTGGGGACCAGTGCATGTGTAGATTTGTAGTTATAGATTTTTCTTTTATGACTAGTTAATCCTTGCATGAATTTTCATAAATTATTTATGAGTCCAAAATTCATGAAATTTGTTGGAGGTAATCCTAGTACCATGTGGATGCTAAGAAAAATATGAAATCTATTGCTTGACACTTTTCAATAGGGTTTCCATTTATGCTATTTCAAGCCTTGCTGCCTTGTCATTTTTGCATAGGATGTTCTACTTGGTAAAATGACATTAAATTTTTACAGTAGTCCTTTGATAGCATTAGTAAGGCTCTGTAAATTTTTGAGAATTTATGAAGCACATCTGATATATATTTATTATTTAACCTAGATATCTAAATAAAATAATAAAGGCAATTTAATAAATAGTTTAGGTTTCACCATTATATGATTCTAAATGTAATTGGTATGCTTAAACTGTTGGTGGATTCTATGTTGTCAAATTTTGAATGATTGCATGAAGTAGATGTATCGTTACTTTATATTGCATGTTGAATAGTTTCCGGACTGATTCTAGAGTTTGATGAATTGCACATTGAAAATGATGTGTACTGTAATAATGGTTAATAACAAAGTTGTAGAGAATTTGATAAGCTTTCCAGAAAGTCCAGGATCACTGGATTTGGATTTGTAGAACTCCAGTTATGAGTGAAACAAGTAGCTGCTGTTTTATGGTTTAAGCGATGCATTATGGAAAGATAATTAAATAACCGAGAAGAGATATGCACCTACTCAATAAACATGATGCACTTGTTAATATATATGCATTCGTAATACTTATGCCATACTCATGCATCTAGGATCGGAGGAAGAGATCACGTTGCTGGAATTCGAAGAAGCAGAGGAAGGGAACCAGCAGGAGGATCCGCAAGCCGCAGCCTCCGGCGTGGAGCGAGAAATCTGAAGAGCTTCCGAGTGCCCCGACCACCGCCCTACTTCCTTTTTCTGCGAGGCAAGCCCGGAGCATTATAAGTCTCTCGATAATTTATAAATATTTACTTAAGTACTTATGATTGCTGCATTAGGTTATAAGAGTTGAATGAAACCACTTGATGCATGTACATTCCTTGTCCGGATATTACACCTTTAACA